CGCAAGCCAATTTTATCCCACATGATCAACTTGCTAACAGAAGAAACAGACCATACAATAGAGAAGGATGGGTCATCATTTTGGGTATTCCTTTGAGGCTAAGAACCTATTCCATTATTGAGCAAATTGTGAATAAGTTTGGAAAGCTTATGCGCTGGCATTCCACGGACAGGATCTTGGGTAGGGTTCTTGTCAAAGTTAGATATACTGTCCCTCATGAAGTGCCTGAAAAAATTGTGATGGGGCACACTGCAGAGCTTGGAGGTGTAGGGGAATCCTGGACTTTCTACCCGTATGTGTTTACAGGCAATTTTGTTGATATGCTGCCTGGAGATGAAGATGCCCCAGCCATTTGGGAAGTTATCCAAGACCAACAAGACCAGATACAACAGTTACAACTGGACCTACAACTCCAACAAGCCAACCCTGAAGGTGATGGTGAAAATGGTGGAATTGATGACATGGATCAGGATAATCAGAATCAACTGGATGAAGTTGAACCACAGCTGTCCCTCTCTTTCAATGATTACTCAATGATTGAATCTTCATCCTCTGTTCAGATCATCAAGCAGCCATCTGGTCAGATAGTCCCATACAGCTTGCCAATCCCTGAACTGCCTTTTTTCAGGTTCCCTGAAAAGTTCTGTTATGCAGTTGCATTTGGAGTATTCAGACTCCTTCTGTTGGCTGTGAACCCCACTATGTTCCAATGCATCACCCAAACGATTCCATGGAACACCGTCAAGATCAACTGGGTTGTCATTCCCTATGTGCTCCCTTGGTGCATTCAAAGTCCTGCTAAGCGTCAAAGAATCTCTATTGCTGGAAAAAAATGTCGCAAGAGCTCTTCCCTACAGCTCTGCCTCGACAGAAATAATTTCCCTGCCTGTGAGAGTGAGGAAGCAGAAGAAACAGGCCCAGCTCTCTGTTGAGGGTCTGAGAAGAAGCCCAAGGTTTGCAAACAAGGGGGAGAAACTTGATCTAACTTGTGATGTCCCTAAAAAGAAGTCCAAGGTGAAGCCGATGGTGCCAGCTTTCAAGCCCAGCAAGGAGGACAGGTCCAACCATCTTCCACCAGCCATCCCAGTGGCCCAGCTGCAAAAAATAGGCGTGGAGAAATGTGGCATGCTTCCTGAGGAAGTGGCTGAAGACAAGCTCCTCCAGCGCAAGAATGATTAGTTTAAATTCTGTTTTGGCTATGCTTAGCCTTCTTGCCCTGGTCCTTATCAGGGTTGTTATCCTCAACTTTATGGGTCTTTTGTGTTTTATTGGGCCAAGACTATTTCTTTGTCACAGGGTAGATTCTCTTTATGGTTCTGAGTGATGACTGGCAGCTCCATGAAAAACATCATATCTTTATGGTTAGTTTCTTATGAAGTACATGTGTTACTTCCCTGCTTCCTAAATAAATTTGTTTGCCCAAATGAATACAACCTCACGAAATAGAAATTGCAATATCCTGTGTTGGAATGTTCGGGGGATAAACTCAGATCAGAAATGGCTGGCTATTCATCAAAAGATTGAAGAAAGTGGTTGTGCAATTATCTGTTTACAAGAAAAAAAAGGGAGCATTTTGATCACTCGTATATAAGGAAGTTTGCCCCTAAAAGGTTTGATAAATTTTGCTACCATCCTTCTCTAGGAGCTTCGGGAGGGCTCATTGTAATTTGGAACAGTCACCTATTTACTGGCACTTTAATTAGCAGCCTCCCATATGCAATCACTATGCATTTCACTGCCACAGCATCAAGCAATGAAATTTGGTTCCTCAAATATTTACGGGCCGTGTTCAGGAGATTTACGAGATGATTTTGTTGACTGGCTAAATGGCATAGTTATCCAACCTGATGAAAACTGGCTGCTCATGGGAGATTTCAACTTCATTCGATCAATGCAAAATAGAAACTTGCCTGGTGGCGATATGAATGATATCATGATTTTTAATGAGGCCATCAGTAACATTGGACTGCAAGAATTACCTCTCAAGGGCAGAACCTACACATGGAGTAATATGCAAAGTCAGCCTCTCCTTCAACAGCTTGATTGGTTCTTCACTTCGCCCTCCTGGACAACTCATTATCCCAACACAATGGTCACTGCTCTGAACAAATGTGTCTCTGACCATGCACCATGTGTTATTTCAATTGAAACCTCTATACCAAAGTCAATCATCTTCAGATTCGAGAACTATTGGGTTGATATGACTGGTTTCATGGAGGTTGTCAAGATTTTTTGGGATATCCCAGTCAGAGCAACTAATCAAGGGATAGTTATTAATGGGAAATTGAAAAATGTCCGAAGAGGCCTCAAACGTTGGAGTAAAAGGTTGTCAAATTTAAATCAATTAATCCAAAACTCCAATGAAGCAATTGATATGTTGGATAAAATTGAAGAGGTCAGGCCACTGTTCATCCAAGAATGGAATTTCAGGACTATTGCTAAAAAACATGTGCTCAAACTTCTGCACTTCAGAAATATCTTTTGGAAGAAAAGGTGCACAATTCTGTGCGTTAAATTTGGAGATGACAACACCAAATTTTTCCATGCTGCGGCAACGCAAAGGTTCAGACAGAACAAGTTTTCTCATTTAACACTAAATGATGGTAACATTGTCACCTCTCACCAGGAGAAGGCCCTGGCATTCCTAAGCTGTTTTCAAGCCAGAATGGGAACCTCAAATGGTTATCAAATGATAATCAATCTGCAAGACCTCTATCATCCTTCTAATCACTTATCAGACCTGTCAACAATGCCTTCAAAAGAAGAAATTGACAAAGTGATAAGAACAATGCCAACAGACAAAGCTCCTGGGCTAGATGGGTTCAATGGCTTATTCATGAAAAAATGCTGGTCTATCATCTCTGAAGATTACTGTAAACTTGCCCATGATTTCTTTGGACAGAAAATTTCTATCCAGAACCTGAATAGCTCATTTATCTGCCTTGTTCCAAAGAAACCATCACCTGAATCTGTAGATGATTACAGACCAATCTCACTCCAGAGCTCTAGCACGAAATTTCTAACCAAAATTATGGCAGAAAGGCTACAAGCAGTCATCCTCGATCTCATCCATGAAAACCAATATGGCTTTATCAAGCAAAGAACAATCCAAGGCTGTCTGGCATGGGCCTTTGAATATATCCATCAATGTTATCAAAGCGAAAGAGAAACTCTTATCCTTAAGATTGATTTTGAGAAAGCTTTTGACTCTGTAGAACACTCAGCCATTCTTACAGTACTGAAAGCCAAGGGTTTCACTAACACTTGGATAAATTGGGTTAAAGATATCCTAACCACTTCCACAACTTCTGTCCTTCTCAATGGAGTGCCAGGAAAGACTTTCAAATGCCTTCGAGGTGTCAAACAAGGAGACCCAATCTCTCCCCTTCTCTTTGTTTTGGTTGCTGACCTGTTGCAATCAATGATAAACAAAGCTCCCGAAATAGGCATCCTCTCCCTGCCTATTCCCCAACCTGATACTAAGTTCCCAATAATTCAATATGCAGATGACACTCTTATTATCATGAAAGCCAGTCAAAAGGAGATTTTCTGCTTAAAGGGCATCCTTCAGTCTTTTGCTTCATCAACTGGACTAAAAATAAATTATCACAAATCATGTATGATTCCGATCAACGTATCTGAAGAAAATTCAAAGATCCTGGCTGAAACTTTTGGATGCCAAATTGGAAACTTACCCTTCACTTATCTGGGACTGCCTGTTGGAACAACTAAGCCTAAAATTGCAGACTTTGCGCCCCTTATAGACAGAGTGGAAAGGAGGCTCCCAGCGATAACAATGTTTCTGAACCAAGGGCAGAGGCTAACTTTGGTAAACTCTGTACTTTCCTCCCTTCCAACTTACTACATGTGCACTCTCAAAATCCCAAAAAAAAGTAATTGAGCACATTGACAGAGCAAGAAGGCATTGTCTTTGGAGGAAGTCCAGTGAAGTTGATGCTAGATCTCTGTCCCTAGCAGCCTGGGACAAAGTTTGTAAACCAAAAAAAAGAGGGGGAATGGGTATCATAAATCTGGAGTTCCAAAACTGTGCATTACTAATGAAACATCTGGATAAATTCTACAATAAGAGGGATCTGCCCTGGGTGAAGCTCATTTGGAATACATACTATAGTAACAACTCGGTGCCACCGCATGCCCTGCAGGAAAGAGGATCATTTTGGTGGAAGGATATCTTTCGTTTAATACCAATCTTCAGAGGGGTTAGTAAAATTCAGATAAACACAGGAGATTCGGTTCTCTTTTGGAAAGACCCATGGACAGAAGACCTACATCAAAATGCTTTCCCAACATTATTCTCCTTTGCTATCAATGAGGATATCACAGTACAAAATTATGTTCAGAATGATGTGACAAAATTTCAATTTGCCACTATCCTCTCAAGCGTTACAGCAATTCACTGAACTTTCACGCCTTTTGGAAAATATCAATCTCACTGATCATCTAGACATTTGGTCTTACTCCTGAGGGGCAACTTTCAAGACAACGAAGGTCTATGATTTGTTTTTTGCCCACCTCTCCCCTCATCCAGCAATCACCTCGATATGGAAAAGTAAGTGTACAATGAAAGTTAAAGCATTTCTCTGGCTCCTTTTTATGGATCGATTAAACACTCGAGATATGCTGCAAAGGAGGCAATTGCATGTCCAAGATGGCCCCTCATGTAGGATGTGCACTTCAGGGGTTGTGGAAGATATGGTACACTTGTTTTTCTCTTGTCCTTTTGCCAAGTCATGCTGGAATCTCCTAGGTATCAACTGGGATGAGGATTTGGAATTTCTGCAAATGATTCAGTCAGCCTATCATGCATTGAACCGGCCATTCTTTGTTGAGGTAATAGGCACGGTGTGCTGGCAGATATGGTCATCACGAAATGCTCACATTTTTGACAATATTGCAATATCTCTCAATGTTGGAAATTTGCCTTTAAGGAAAATTCCACTCTTCTTATGCAAAGAGTGAAGGAAGAAGACAGACCCCCATTTCAATCATGGCTAGACTCTTGTTATTAGTTCCTTTGTAATTATTTTTATTTTAATTTTTACTTTTTTTATTTTTCCCTTGATGTATATAAACTCCTTATATTTCTTAATATATCACAGTAGGAGCCTCTCATGCTGTTTCTCGTAAAAAAAAAGTGAATGTAATTATTTGTCATCGTCTTGGAAGAGACTACGGTTCAACTTGTGGTGAGCCTCCCGCATCTCCATTTTCTCACACGTGGTGGTGGCCGCCGCCTCCTCATCCTGTGACGTATTGCTGGCATTGGTGCCATGTGTGGTGAGCTGAGGGTTGTGCATTAGCTCTTCGCCATCCACAACCACATCTTTCATCATCTACCCACAAATGTGAAACAAGATTAAAACATATTGAATTAAAATATGGACAACCAAATCGAAGAGGAGACCATTAACAATATTATATAAAAATGACTACATACCTGCCAGTCCCTAAAATCCGTCCTCATTATAAAATGGATGTTTTTTACCTTTCCACTAGCTATGTCTTCTGCCGTTGGTGCATTCCTTGGGTCTATACCAACAAATATAATAGCATCAAGTTAAGGTATAGAGTACACAGATTTGTAGCAACAGAAATAGAAAACAAGTAATGACACACTTACATACAATATGACGGCCATCACCATCCACAGTTATTTGTACCCTTCCAACATAAACAAGATTTGACAAAGTATTTATGTTGTATACAGTTATGGAAAATGAATTTCTAGCCAACACAAGGTTTTTGAGCCTTGCAGATTTTTTGTTCTTTAGAACATTAGACATGGCTAACATATTTTCATCGCCACATGTTAAATCATCAAGCTGCATTTAAGAAGGAAAAAAAATCAACGGCTTAGTTCATCATCATATAAACCATTGTGCCAATTAACAAACTTGACTAGTAACACATGACATCGACCGATTTTGACGGATTATATGTCGTAGTGATGATGTTGTTTCGGTGGCTGTTGAATTCTGCGACTTAATAATAAGTTTTACTAATACGAAACAACATACTATAATCTAGCTTATTCCTAAAAGAAAAAATAAAATAAAAACTTAAAATACTCCAAAATTTTGTTACAAAAGTCAAACGTGGACAAATGGCAAATTAGTTTCACAACAAACATTTTGTGTGGACTAATGGTTAAGAAAATTGTGGTCAAAGTTTAGGTTATTCATGCAAGTTTTTGAGTCAGTTGATACTTAAGAGAAAAAACAGAAGACAGCAAAAAATACAGTAACAAATTAAGCACTAGGTTAAATAAGAAATAACATAATATGTCGATATACTTGAGCAAATTGCCAGTGCAACAAATGGTAATGATAGTCTCTCAACAATGTACGGCGCTCTCATCGCTAATGAATTAGAAAAGAAAATTATCCCCAAATCGTAAACAATTAAGTGACAGCCAGATGACTAGGACCAAAAGTCGATCGCATATGTAATCAGGGTTTACAGATCTGTTTTAATTTGGTGATTGATTGCTTGAAAACAATGTAAACAGGATCCGAGCTAAATAAAGGCCAGGGAAAGTGCGTTGGACCCAACCAATGAATCTAAGATACAGTACACGCAATGCAAAGAGAGTAGATCTATTCATAGGGAAAAGAAAAAGGATAACATCTAGGCAGCATAAGATGTGCAGTAACCGAAGTACTCATAGACCATTGCTGGCAACTAGTAATCGAAGATTAATAAGTCTATTATACGTCTCAGAACTCACAAGTGTATACATGAACATGCACTCACCTCTGCTTCGGGATATACCTGAACGGCGGAATCTGCTTCGGGATATACCGAGGAACCAGACATATTGCAATCACGGAGGAAGATGAGGTTGACGAAGTAAGAGATGCACACGGAGGAAGATGAGATTGGGGAGAAAGGAGATTATGAAGAATGTAAATGAGATCGGTACCTGTCCATCCTTTTATCTGTAAACAAAAAACGGAAAAATGGAAAAATAGCGGAACGATATACTCTACTGTCATTTTGAACCGTGCAAGAATATATCTATAAAAAACGGAAAAACGGAAATATTGGAGCGATATACTCGAAGCACGTACCAATGAAGATTTTCTATGCACTTTTGAAGAGGTATATATTATGGGGTTTTAATACGAACTCTATTTAACAAAATATGTTTGACATCCTTTTCTCACTTGTGCTATTCAAGTACACTCTACAACATCCACTGAACAATCAGCCGATATCACTTTACAAGAAAGTATCCAAACTTTACAAGATAATTTCAACGATTTCACAAAGGATTTTTGGCCACGTATGCGATCATTGATACTAGATTGCATGGAAAATGATTCAAAATGCCTAGAACGAAAAGATACTACGCATGTGTTTGAGGTAAAGATGATAAGCTAGACTATTAATCATTATTACTTACGTAACACCGCTAAAAAAAGGTTGACGCTATTGTAGGATGTTGAACAAGAACAAATTGATCCCAGGTAGCATGTATCAAATCATAACGAAGAGTCCTATATAAACCAAAATGTAAACATGACTTGTGAAACGAAGGTAAACTGAATTTTAATTCTCTCGCTAACGTTTCTACAACTTATCATAATACTAACGTGCACTTTGTTACCTAACAGGACAACAGTAACCAGAGCAATCAAAGCAGGAAGAGGCTTACAGGTCCTACAGGAAGAACATACAAACTGACTAATCGGACTGACTTCATCTACGAAACAAGGGGTAAAAAGAAGGACATAATCAGAACCCAAGCACAGACAAAGAAAACAATAGGTATTATGCTATTTAATAGTTACATATGCTCATGTCAATGGTACTAACTTTCCTCCTTTTCAAGCGCAAACGGATAAAGAAGCTAACATGCCAGACACAGACGAATTACGGGGTGAAAAGAAGAGGAAACAAAACAACCAAACACCGAATGAAATATCTGAATGTATGAACTCTCTACATCATCCATAATTTTTTACTTATATTCTATGTTTGTGTGTTACTGATTTGACTTACCCTTTTCTAGTGTACATCGAGAAGGAAGATCTTACCAAAAAATCATAGACAAAGGCCCACCAAAGAACGCCTTACGAGGTCAAAAGAAGAAAAAAATGAATGGCCAGACACCATTAAAAAATTCAGAAGGTAATGCCTAACCATTTAACATTTCTACAGATCTATTACTAATTTGTCCTACCTTCGTAGAGTTGACTAAAAAAAAGACCCTTTCATTACCTACATTAATAATACGGAGGATAACAAAGTGATGGTGCATATTGAAGAAGTGGAGGTTAAACGGATAAGAATGAATGTACTAACACAACCAGAATTCTTAAATGATGATGTAAGTTCGCCTATTTAACAAGCCTACTATTCTTTTATAATTATATTTGTTATGTAACTCAACTAACCTCAAATTCAGGTCATGAATGCATACATCCAATGCCTCCGCTATAATGAGAAAGGAATCAGGGGAGATGGCAAGGCCTTCCTAGAGATGGCCATTAAAACAGGTCTACTAAATGTAGAGGGAGCGCATGTCGAAGCAAGCAAACCTCGAGATAAACGATGGATTAGAGATATGGCACGCGACTATCTAGCATTTGACATGGTAATACTTATTTAAGCTATCTATGTAATGGCTAATTCAATTTATGACTCTATCTTACTGTTGAACATCTGCAGATTTTCCTCCTAATTAATATTAAAGATACACACTGGTACCTAGCCGTTCTTAACGCCAAGCGACGTGAGGTGCAAATACTATATTCGCTCGCAAAGCCAATCAGTAAAGATCGACCCGATCTAAGGCGTGTGGTAAGCGATACACTTCCACTTGTATAATTCAAATCGGTTTTGCTATGTTTTTACCGTACCAACGTTGCACAAAACTTCCCAGCTGCTAGCTATCGAGAGGGGATTACACGGGACAGAGAATCAACACCCACAGTTAAAACATGATTGGCCTGGTTTCAATATTACCGAATGGGAATACAACAAAGTCCAAAAATTGCCAAAGCAAGGAGATGGGTGGGTGACTCAAACTCTTCCACATGATATTCACATTATTCAATTACGGAAACGTGTTAGCCTAACGACTAAATTCTTGTAGCGTCTCGTGTGGCCTGTACACCCTTAAGTTCATGGAGCATTGGAGCGAATCTTATCTCCCAGGAATTCAAATACAGGCAACTACAACGACCTCTATTCATATTTTGCACCAGTGCTTCCCATTTCGAAAAACGATTTAAAATGCACTCCCTTTACATTATGCAGAAGGATGTGAAAACATTTCGACAGGACTTAGCCGGAATTTTGATCAACTCCGAACTGAGCAAGATTAAAGATCGTCCACTACTACCAACCACGACATAAATGGATTATCTGTCGAACATTTACCACAATTACCTTACTATGCTCTCTTCCCCTTATTAAATCATTTAGATACTACTTGAGTATTTGACGGATCCCAAACATTGATGCCTTTTTGAGATAATATTTATAGTTCATATTTGAATCCATTTGAGAAGGAGCGGTATATGAAACCTTACGCTTCGGGGTGACTCAATGCAGTAAGCTGTCGACGTCACCGACGTGCATCTACTTCAACGTCGCACCTGAACACCGATAACCCCTTCGCCGGCATGCGGATCCCCTTCGCGCATGCCACCATCTTGCAAACTGACCCTGCTCCCAACCATTCAATCAAATAATCAAAATACAATGCAATGGATTGAAGAACAGACAACCTTTATCTGCAAAATCATAACAGTAAGAAATTTTGACTCGTTTACTTACCACTAGCCAAGGAGGAGGTTGCTAGAGGGAGACTTGGAGGAGATCAACGCGGGATTGCTAGTGGCGCGGAGGAGAACGACGTGAGCGGCGGATGCAGGTGGACACCAGCGGTACCGGCATGGTGGAGAAGGGGGCGGCGGTTGATGAGGAGGGGTGAACCGCGACGGCGGCTAGGTCGATGTCCACAGAGAAGGGGGCGGGGGATGATGGGGAGGGGAGAGCCGCGACGGCGGCTAGGTCGATGGTGACAGCGGTGGAGTGGAGAAGGGGGCGGCGGTCCATGGGGAGGAAAACGTGGCGGCGGTGGCGGGGGGAGGCGACGCGGCGAAGAGGGCTCATCGCGAGCCGGTGGAGGCGGGTGGAGGGGCGGTGGAGAAGGGGGCGGGGGAGGAGGACGGCGATGGTGGGGGCTTACAAGCCGGCGCGGAGACGCGGACGGAGGAGAAGGCGGCGAGGGCGACGAGGAAGGGCTTCGACGGAGGGAAGCCGCCGATAGCGGGGGAGGCGGGGAGGCGGACGTCGATGGAGGGGCGCTGGCGGGGGAGAAGGCGGCGAGGGCAGTGAGGGAGCGGAGAAGGCGATGGCGCTGGAGGGGGAGCAGACACCAGGACAGGCGACGGAGGCGGCGAGGGAGATGGACGGCGACGGAGGCAGGGATGGAGGGGAATGGCGACGGGAAGTGGTGAAATGGTGATGATGCGAGAGGAATCGGATAGGGATAGGGTGAGTAAGAGACTGAAAAAATACGATAATACCCCTACGCGATTTTTTTCCCTTAACAAAAACACCCTTTCACATTTCTACTTCCACTAATACTGGTGGGAGTAGAACTAGATCTCAGCCCTACAATTAAATACGATCAATGGCCCAGATTTCTTTCTACTCCGAGTAGAAAGCACCGGAGTGGGGCTGTTTAAAATTAGGAACTTAGCCCCTCAAACAACCCAATCCGAAATTCGCTTCTATGAAGATTTGAACTCAAGTTCTTGGGATGCTACTTAGGTCACTGCAACCACGAGGTGACATGCACTTTTGCTGATGTAATTGCTTTGTTGACAAATGTCACAAACCAAACACAAACTACTTCACAACTCACACTCTAACATAGACGAGCCAAGGGTTTTCGTTGATTATTGATCCTAGTTAACAAGACTTGTTAAATTAGGTTGTTGGGACAACCTTGTTGAGGTGCTTTGTTCTTCTTTTGCTCTCTTTTTGTGTTTTGCTTTTTGGTTCTTTGTATTTGCGTCTTGGACACCTCTCTTCTTCTTCTTTAATGCAATGATATGCAACTCTCATACGTATTCGAGAAAAAAAAAACTCTCATGCTCTCTTAGACACGAGCCTATCACTTCAATTTAATTCTTTGGGGTTTGGTTACTCAACCTGAGCTTATCAATGACTAATATGATCATTCCGTTATTCCTATTCAGCTGTCGTCCATCCATTTGCAGAGTTAGTGGCCTATGATGTACTTTTGCAATCCCAGTGGTCACATGCTTGTTGACTGGAACCATCTCCATCCTTGCATATGCAATTTACATATTCTACATAGACTTCATGAACAACTTGGGCCACTGCAATTTTGAGTTGGTTCCCAATTATCTCTTCAAATGTTTCCCTCCCCTCAAGTACCTTATGTACACCCCTTCGTAAGTACCTCATGTTCCTTCTTGATCTCTATCGATATTCCAAACTGTTGTTTATACTTACATTACATGCACATTACAAAATCGTTTCTACTTAATTTGAACTTTGGTCTTCCGCTGCTAGGTTTCATTCTCTTCACCACACGCAGTTCCGCACAAATTACTCCCTTTACATGCCATTCTACGATTATATCTACAATACCATGGATAAATCATCTAGCACCCTATACGAGAGCATGCTCAAGATCAGTAAGGAGAAATCCCTGGATGTGGTTCACCTCACGCATCTCACCGACCTCCAATCCATTTATCATCTGAGGCCCGGATTCTCCATGTTTGCTGCTAGAGGATACAATCAAAGTAACTGGTCCATGATAACCATCTTGTCACCCCTATCATGGCTCATCGCCATGTGTACCTGGGCGTTCAGTTCTTCTCCATTTGCTGTCGACAGAAGTGTCCTAGATAAAAACCTCAACATGCAGACATGGGCCATACCAAGATACAGTTTCCATGTAAGAATTAATATCTGATCATTCATAATAATGATGATTATGCTAATTAGAATGCAGGGACAAAGAGTAGTATATCCTAAGAACGTGCATCTAATTTGTTTGTGTAGTACCACTTAAAAAGGGAGAATAAAGCTATCAACGACTTGATTGGAAAGGCAATACATGAAGCTGACAGAAGAGGTGCTAAAGTTTTCAGCCTTGGACTCCTAAACCAGGTGAGAAAAAAGAATAATCATGCATATATACATTTGGCCTGAGAAGGCCACGAAAATGACAAGAATATGAGTTTATAAATCAATGAAAACAGGCACGTAATCTCAATGGAAACGGAGAACATTATCTTCATCAGCAGCAGCCAAAGTTTGAGGACTAGAATTGTGGATGGCAGGGCAGCAGCCTAGCAGCTGCGGTGGTTTCCAATAGTGTAGCCTCAAGGACAGACCAAGTTATTCTTGCAGGAAATCTTGACAAGGTGGCTCGAGCCGTTGCTATGGCATTATGCAAGAGAAATGTCAAGGTGATTAACCATTTGCAGTACTTAAGGGTGTGTTTGGTTGCTCGTATCTGTCTAGCCTGGCTCATCTCCCTTATCCAGGTTGAGCTTATCCTAATTAATGGGATACACATGCAGTCGTTTGGTTGTTTGCATTAGTCTAGCTTGGCTAGTATGAGATGTTGTTTGGTTGTCTGCACAAGAGATACGGTTTAGAGGAGAGTTTGTTTGGTTGGTTGTATGAACCGTATGTATGAGGATCTTTTTTTCTGGGTAAAACAATTCATTATTTGAGCTCATGTAGTGGAGTTCGTAGTACTATTACACAGTATATCTTATATTAGTGACTAATTACGGCATAGAGAATGAGAACGGTAGAAAAAAAAAAGAGTGACCCTCTCACTCCTCGCCGCCGAGCACGGCCCTTGCCGCTGGCAGCCTGCTCTGCCGAGCCCGACTGGTCGCTGTCATCGTAATCACCGCATCCATCGCTCCCACCGCTCGCCACTCCTCTTGCTCCACCACTCTCTAGCCGCACCGGCACGCCGCTCCCTGTGGTCATCGTGGTGGCGATGGTTGCTGCTGCTGCTCGCCACCGTCGTCATGGTGGCGATGGTTGTTGCTGCTGGTTGCTGCTGGTCGCCGCCGTCACCGTCGTGGCGGCCAGATCCGATGGGAAGCGCTGGAGGTGTCGGTCGCGAAAGGGATTATGTGGCGGCAGCGCGGACACCGAGGAATGGATGGGGGCGACATCGGCGATGGCGAGGCAAGGGCGACGGTGAGCTTCCTGATGTAAAATCCTCTCTGGGTCTTCTCCTTCCTCCCGCCCATCTCCTTCCTCCTGAATTTGGCCGAGGTCGAGCCCGGCGATGAGCAATGCAGCAGCAACAAACCCTAGCATTTTCGTTTTGGGGGAGAAATGAGAAAGGGGCAGGGTGGTGACCAGTGACCCCTTCGCACCCCTTGCACACACGGGTAGCATCAATGTTTCTCAAGCCCGGAGCAGAGGGGGTCTCGACCTCGACATCAGTATCCCGCTCGAACTTGCTATCAATGTCGCTAGCAAGTTCGAGCGGGACACTGATGTCGAGGCCGAGTTCTCCTCTGCTCCAACCTTGTAGAGAGTCCATGCTTGTGTTCTGTCGATGAGGCGAACGCAGGTACGACATAGAGGTCTATCAAACCATCAGGGAATACAATGTGAATTTGTGTAGAATACACATGTAGTTCCTAGTTTATGAAGATATACGTGCTTAGTACTTTTTTTAAAACTTTCTTCCCGTACAACAGTTACATAGGCAATGTCGCAGCAAGGCGAACCAATGTCAGTGACTACTAGTGGGACAACTTCGAGCTGGGCTCCTAGGACCCAAAATAGGATTCCTAAGTAAGTGTACACCATAACAGAGGTGGACGAGCTTGGATTTCCGACGGCTCCTCCGAAAGCTGTCAAAAAATTCCCAGCGATATGCGGAGTCCTAGGGAGGCGGAACTTCACCATTCTAGAGGACCACATCGGTCTGGTCCCACAGGCAGAAAAAGAAGAGGCTTGGAAGCAGTTCAAGGAAAGCTTCGAGTACCCTGCAGAGGCCTAGGCAAGACTCAAGCGGCAGGCTATCCGCAAGATGGGGAACTTGTAGAAAAATTTCAAAACCGCACTGGTCACGGACTACGTCCTCAACCCTGCCCAGTCAGAACCATTTGTTAAATACCCGTTCATCACCCGGGTCGTGTGGGAAGAGTTCCATGCTGCCAAATCAACCCCTAAGTCTTGAGCAAGAAGTGAGGCCTATAGGGAGCTGCAGGCAAAGAACCTTCACCCGCACCGGCTTCGCACTAGAGACTACACGGGGAAACAGGCGGAATGGGATAAGGAGGATGAAGCTACTGCGGAATCTAACACCCCGCAAGTGCTTGGTGATATCCCGGTGCAGTGGGCAAGAAACTGGGCAAGGGCAAGGGTGAAGAAGAATAGTGATGGAACACTTTCGTTCCTAAATCCCTAAGATCAAGCGGTGTACCAGAAAATCGTAAGTTCAACACATAGAATAAGTTTCATTAGGTTATATCGTATTCTTCATCTAATTCATCCTAACTGTACCACAGGTCGAACTGACTGTTGAGAAACAGTCCTCCCAAGAGGTCTCCTCACAAAGTCGCGAGGATGACGTCCTCACGAAAGCGTTGGGAACCGAAGAACACCGTGGACGGACAAGGGGAATTGGATCCAGTGTTCCCTGGAAGCTTGGGTTTCCCCAATACGCGTGGCAGTACAAGAAGCACAAGCTTTCAAAGGCACAGAAATATGCACGCCTTAAGGAACAACTTCGTGCGGAGCTTAGAGAAGAGCTCAGAGAATAGTTCGATGAGAAGTTGTTGCAAGTGAAGGCTCGGGTGGAGACATGCTTAAGGGAAAGCGAGCCCCACGCAGAGGCGTAGCAGCTGCGCATCAACTGAGGCAGCGGGAGAACAACCAGAAGGGCCCACCGCGGTGGACCACATAACGGTAAAACCAAGAAATAAATGCATTTGTTGTCTTAGCACCACAATACGTTCTAACATATTCTAAGGATACGTATCAATGTATCTCAGGAACTCACATCATGCACCCTAGTTGTTAGGGTGACACATGCATTTGCAATTCCTGCCGCAGAGGGTCAAGCGTTCAAGCCAACGCCAGAGACCCGAATGCATGGGGCGCAGCTGCTAGCTGGGCATGGCAAAATTCAAGTGGACTTAGTGAAGCTCGATTGGGTTAGCTTCACTCTCTCGCACCCACCAAATGACGAGATTATGACCCTTGGAGCTGCACGTGGGACCTTTATTCAATGGCCCAAGCATAGCATTCAGATCAACATAACTCCTAGGCTAGCACCAAGTTCTCGTCCACCGCTGCGGCATCCCCCTCCAACTCTTGTATCTGCCCCTCCTGTCGTTGAGGAAGGAGATGAAGATCTGCAATTGCAATACGGTACAGATTTTGGTGCCGACGGTACGGAGGTCGACAGCAGGCCGCACCTCCCCCCTTAACATACCCAAATTCTAGGGTTAAGGAATTCTTGTCAAAAATAGTAGGAAGCTAACTTTTCCATTTTTTGAGAGCCAGAAATTTCCATTTTTAACTTAGGTGTGGTCAACCCAACTTTTACTGAAGTAAAATTTAAGAAAAAATTAAAACCTTTTCATCTTTAACCTATAACATAGATGCAAACACAAGTGTAAGCATGCATACTTGCATAAGACATGTTTTGATTTGAGTCTTTCTTGTGCATTTGGATTTTTGGTTGGCATTGCATATTAGGTTTCATGAGCATAAATAAAAGATAAAATTTCACTAATCAAACCTATAACCACTTGTCGGTGATATGGGCCCGGGGGTACGCACAGTAGAGGGAAGCCGCCTTCCCGTCTGGCCACGTGGCTGAGCGGCCTGGCTTTCCCCCGCCTCCTCGGGGGGGAGGGGGGTGGTCAGGTAGCACTGACGCGGCCGGGGGGCCACGTCACGACCCTCGGGCCTTCAGCGTGCTCCACCCCGAGGGCCTCGCCCGACCACCACGTGGCTGGGAGAGCAGGCAGAGCAGGAGACACTGCTCCGTGCCTTCAATGCACGGTGCCCCAACCGTCCCGCGCCACATTTAATGCGGTGTTGGTGGGCGTGTGGCGCCGCTCGATTGACCCCTGTCAATCGAGCACGACCGGTCGGTGACTGGTCGCGGACGATGGGACGGGTGGCAGTGCCCCCACGTTCCGCTCTGTGTCAGGCGGAGTGGGGGCAGATATGCCCTGTCCCATCAGCATGTTCCTAGGAGCGCCCTCCGCGCATGGTGAGCCTTCAAAGTCTCCATGCGTTTAATGGTGAATAACAGGGATCTCCCCCGTGTCAGGCGGGGGACGGCGTTGGACCCCACCCAAGGACGCATGACCACCTTGCTTCTGGTTGAAGGCACGTACGGCCGTCTGACCCAGGCAAGGTGGGTCCCCCTTTCACGGACGGGTAGGTATAGGCGGCACATGTGGTATCCCCTTGAACTATAAAAGGAGGACCTCGCCCACCGGAAAAAGGGATGACTCTCAGACAACTTGAGCTCATGAGGAAGAACAGCTGGGTTTCCCTTAGAGCTCAAAATCTCTTGTAAAAGTTAACCATAATCCCACACACAGGAGTAGGGTATTACGCTCTCGATAGCGGCCCGAACCTATATAATCCATTGTCTTTCACAGAGGCTAGGTAGCAATCTAGCGGCTAGACTGCAAGCGGAAGCACGCTCTTGATCATCGCGCCATCTCCCCCGGCCAAACTCACAAAGGGGGTCTCACGACCACCCACTAGAGAGGATCTCTCCTCGACACCACTCTTGAGCAAATAATTATAAAGACATGAAAATGATGTTAAATGATTTCACCTTAGGTCAAGAGATTCCAAATATATTTTTTTATAAATAGCTAGATGCATTTATGAGGAGGAAAACCCATATATAAAGATAAGTCTTGCTAATTATCTAAAATAATTTGAGTAAGATAAAATCATGGGAAAATTCATGTAGGCTCTACTTAACACATACAACTCACTCTAATTTTCGTACAATTTAATAACTAAATTTTATACCTCAAATAAATCAGTCAAACCAGTCAAATAGTAGGCTAATTATAATCCTTAATCGGCTAAAACATACCCTCACCAAAATACGCATTAAACTGCATATAAGTGCATGAGTGAAAGGCCATTTATCATGAATAAATATAATTTTTCCAGAATTTATTTCATCTGTTTAGACCTCCTAAAAATTTATAAACTAGTTTACACCAAGCCTATTTTCTCTAATTTTCTGAGAGCAAACTACACATAATTTTTTAGTGCAACCCAAAAAAAATAAAAACTAGGTATATTCACCTACCTCCAGTAAAATCCACATGGATTTATCTACACCATAAATTAATATAAGAACTAACGAAGATGGGAAAAGAAATAATCCTGTAAATAACTGAAAATCGATTTTCAGTCAAGAACCTACCCATCCCTCATGACAATCTCACTGGCTTGTCCTTACACTTGTTAACCTCCCTCAGCCGACAAGAAAACAGAGACAGAGAGAGAGAGCGAAGGGAATCAGAGCCGACCGAGCTCTGGTCGTGCTCGACGCGTGGCCTCGACGTGTCCAACGCGGAGCTCGCCTTCTCCACTCCACTCTTCCAGCCGCGTCGTCCATCTCCACTCCTCACTCCAGAGCCGACCAAACTGAGGGCTCCGTCGCCCTCATCTCCATCGCCGGCCACCGAGAAGACAAAGGTCGCCAACGCCATGGAGCCGCGGTCGTTTCCTCTTCTTTTGCGTTCCTCAATCTACTCTTGATGCCGTCTCCGTTCCATCTAATTTCGTCCCATTCCATGCAGCGGTTAAACAGGAACGCGACCGCGCACTCCGACGCTCTGGAGCGCGCACCGAGTGCCACCGCTGCATCACCATCGTCGCGCCGGCCTCCGTGGACCAAATCCGGCCGAGCCGTCGCGCCATCATCATCACCACGACCTCCTCTTCGAAATCCCTCAAGAATCCCAGCCAATGCCGCAACGTAGAGGGAGATCGGCGTCGCCTACCTTAAGTCCAGCCGCCGGCCATCGTCGTCCATTCCTCGCTCTCGGGTGAGCTTCGGCGCGATTCCTCACTCGTAGAGCATCTATAGGTTCCCTCTAAGCCGTTCCCCCCCTGTCCTTGGCAGCTCGAAGACCGAAGGAACGTCGACGCCGTCGCCATGCCGATTTCCGTTGCTGCCAGGTCGTCTTCTCCACTGTCACCGATGTTCAGACCAATCCAAGCTGCGGGTCTAGCTTCAATGAGTACCCAAGAACCCAGTAGACACACATGCATGCACCCATTCGCATAGAAACGAGCCGGAGCTCGACATGCCTTAGCATGCCGAGAACCACCTTCGCTCGCACCAACGCCGTCGTCAATTACGACCACCGTAGCTAGCAAGATTACCACCATTAGCTTCGCAATGACCTGCTGCATCTTTTTGCTTCTGGTCGCACCGCTGCGTTGTTGGGTTTAGTCCCACATCGGTAATTGATGATGGGGGAGCACGACTTAAAAAGTGGGGGCGATCCTCACCCATCAAACTAGTCTTTTGGTTGTGTAGGCCCAGGACCTAAAGTTGTGGCTCCAATTGGGCTTGTGGTAGAGCAGAACCAATGTGACCTGGGTGGCCCACGGTTGGTGGGCCAGGCTGCACACTCTAACAAATGGTATCAGAGCCCAAGGTTTAGAACCCGGAACAATTTCCATGGGTCACATGGCGGAGAGGCCAGATAACAAGTCTTCGGGGTCATATGGGTTGATGTGACAGGTCCCACATCATTCTAAACAATTTCCATGGGGTCACATTTTCCATGGGTCACATGGCGGAGAGGCCAGATAACAAGTCTTCGGGGTCATATGGGTTGATGTGACAGGTCCCACATCATTCTAAACAATTTCCATGGGGTCACATGGTGGAGAGGCCAGGTAACAAATCTGCCAGATAACAAGTCTTCGGGGTCATATGGGTTGATGTGACAGGTCCCACATCATTCTAAACAATTTCCATGGGTCACATGGTGGAGAGGCCAGGTAACAAATCTTCGGGGTCACATGGGTTGATGTGACGGGTCGACTTAAAAGATACAATTTCCATGGGTCACATGGTGGAGAGGCCAGGTAACAAGTCTTCGGGGTCACATGGGTTGATGTGACGGGTCCCACATCGGTAATTGATGATGGGGGAGCACGACTTAAAAGGTGGGGGCGGTTCTCACCTATCAGACTAGTCTTTTGGGTTGTGTAGGCCAAACGAAACACGGAAGAAAACGCCATAGGAGATCCAAACACGATAACGACACCGAGGCATGATATTTGATAACGGAGTTCAGCCGAGGCCTACATACGCCATAGGAGATCCAAACATGATAACGACACCGAGGCACGATATTTGATAACGGAGTTGCCTACATCTCCGGGGCACTGATTACGGGCGCTCCTCCCCAATCCAGCATATACAGCGTATCAGAGTTACAACGACTCACGGCCGGTCGCTGCCGGCAGCCGCTCCCTCTCGCTATGTTAAGTCGCCATGCGGTTACAACAGGCACACCCCTCTATTTATGAGAGATCTTAGGATAGAGTCCGACTCTTACTCTAGTCCTACACCTAGTACAACTTCAAGTTCTAAACTATAACCGACTACCTACACATATTCGACACAAACTCTAACACGCGTAAATCGCAGTCAATCGCCGCCGGCGAGCTCGGCCAAGCCGCTGCCCTGTATTGCTTCCTGTACAGGAATAAGCCAGGGATCTCTTTCACGAATTCGATAAAGTGTAAGGACTAAAGTGTGAGACATTTCACTCACTGACATGTAGGTAAAGGACTAAAGCGAAAATACAAGAGAAAAATGGGGACTCTTTATAAACTGTGGCATAGACACATGTTGGACTGCGGGTTCTATTCCTCGGAACCATAGGGGCCTTTTTGTATATTAGCAGAGGATGGCATGTGGACCCCATGAACTTAAAATCTGAAAATATAAGGGAAAATCACTAAAGCTTTACATTTTCTGCAGAAAAATGCTCAAACTTGTAAAATCCATATAAAATCAAATGTAGCTCATTTTGAGATGATTCCAGTTGCTATAGATTCACAAAGTTATGAAATTTATTTTAGAAACATAAAAATTGACACACTGTACAAGGTTTGTCTCTAAAATTTATCCAAGATAAATCATACATAAAGCATACCCAAATTATAAAATGCAACCAAAATTCATCTCAACTTATTTTTGAACAAACTTAAGTTCTACAGATTCACCAACATGCACACTCTAGATAGGAGAAATAAAATTATATACTTACTTTAAGCCAAATACGTCTAAAACTAATATCTTCAAAATAATTAGTTTTGTGTAAGGTGAACTTTAGAAGTTTATATAAAATTCATTTTAACTCCTTTTTGAGTAAGTTCAGGTTCTGTAGAATCACCAAAACCTATACTTCCATGTTATACAATAAAATTATATGCATACTGTATAATGAAAGCCTCTAAAAAAATTTATGTAAGGAATAACCAACGTAAGGTAGCCTTTAACTTATACAATTTGTAGAAAATTCATCCTTAGTCCATATAGAGTGAACCAAGTTTCTATGGAGTCAGCAAGGAGTGAAATTTAATTTAGTAAAGTATAATGTGGCACTTTTTGTACAAATTATAGCTCTGAACCTTAATTTGATAAAACAAGTGCTAATCATATAGTGTTGATTAAGCAAAACATAGGTATGTATATATATATAGACGCACTCTAGCTCTAATTAAACCTAACTAAAATTTGTTAGACTAGACAAGCTATAGATTCATCCTCATTCACTAAAACCTAGATGAACATAGCTCGTGTAACAAACTCTAGGTTGATATGTTAAGTCATTAACATAGAATATTCCCTAAGTTACAAAATGTGTAGTAGAGTAATATCAACTCTAAAATTTGTGAACTAAAATTTAATTGATTGACTAAATCATTCATTTTATACATCACTAGCAAGATGGAACAAGTTCTGAACCTAAACCTCCAAAGCCACATACACATAGAAACTATATGCCTAGAACGTGTTATAACTTGTAGAGTACATAGAAAATTCATGATAACTCCAAAAATTGTGAAACCAAAGGGAAGTCAAACATAATAAAATATATCTCTACACTCCAGAGAAGTCAAACATAATAAAAGTCACTTTACAAAAACATTTCACTACGTAACCTAGTAAATATTACCCTATACCGAGTAATTTCTAAAATTAATAACTCCCAAATAAAAAGAGATAAAATAAAAATTCTTTCACCTAAATTCATGTTAGATCAGTACCTACCCACAGTACACAAATCATGCATTTTAGAGCATTTTGGATTTTTGCCTATTTCAGTGTTTAATTGCATAACGTATACTTTATATAGATAATTGCCTAAACAGTGAAGAGGTTACTTAGGTGCTAACATTTCTGAGGAACAGGCAAGTTCTCCTCCCATCCTTTGAACACATTGAATCCTATGGTTTGAGGAATGAAAATATTTGTTTGCAAAATTGCATGCAAACCTAGACTATATCGATATTTAAATTTTTGTTATGGTATATGACCTTTTTTCTGCATTCCCTACCTTGAATAATTGTGATCCTTGCAGTTTGTACCCCTAGAAATGGTTAGAGTATATTCCTTGTGCTCAAATGGGTTTATATATAATGTATATGCAACTACTTGCTTAGCCATGCTTAGAAATATGCAAATGCTCATTCCATCTATAATTAAAATGTGACTTTGATATGTGAACCTTTGCTGGAATAAAATCAATATGATGAGTATTTGCGAACTAAAATGTGTAAAATGTGATTTTAGACTTGGGCGGCAAGTGGTGTGCATATGGTGTTAGTTGCATACCGATAGGGGGAGTGTTTGCCCAAGTCCGTAAGGACCAAACTTGTGTCACCAACTTAAAGTTATTCGTACATCCATATGTGTTAGTATGGGATGGCCTAAGCTGATTTATCTACTTAGCATATCTAGCCTTGCATTCTGGTAGGCCGGTGTGTATGAGTTCGGATAACTCAGAGGAATTTCCTATTTATCCCGACATGGTATTTTAGGTGACTAAGTCTATCCAATACAACAGTATTGTGCCACGTGCTAGGTTCTCGTCGTGTCCGCCACCACAGCGTTAAGTTTAAGGCGTGAGCCCGCCACTTAACTGTTCTAGGTATTATTTCCAGTATGCCTAGGATGGAGGAACACGTATCGTGCTGGTGCAAGGCTAGAAATTAAGTAGTGTAAAGGTTTCGTGCTATTGAATTAACACGTATCGTGAATGCGGGTTTCGATTGCTTCTTCTAGGATGTGAACTTAATGGAGTGAACCCCTAGTCGGTGTGCTTGAGGATTGGGTAGTCAAGCTTCCGTTGTTCTTTAATATGCCTATTTGGCCGGTCGGCCTACTTAACTATTAAATTGATGTAAGTCTCTAAGTCCCTTTCGTCTTAAATGTCTTTGCTATGTACGTCCATGCTTAAGATGAAAGTGTGAATCTAGTGCACATCCTGAGAATTTAGATTCACATGAGTATGAGTTAAAAATATTTGAGATGTTGTAGATCTTTAGCCATTTGTCAGTCTCCTAAATGTGTAATACATCTGGTCGCCGCCTTCGAGTGGTTTGACGGGCACATCTCATACTGAAGTTGGCTGGCAGGCTAAAAGTCAAGCAATGTCTCCAATATTCTTCTCTCAAGGCATCGCATCGGATATTTCAAGAGAGCCTACGTTTTAGAGGCGCCATTCTCGGCACCGGCGAGAGAAGTCCTCGACGCCATTGCTAACCGGTGAGCTCCATTTCCATTCTCTAATCCAGTCTCACTACCCTCTCTAACGCCACCAAGAACGCCTCATTTGGTGCAGCCAATCTCCGGGAACGCGACCACGTCAACTCGGAACGCCGTCGCGTTCTGGACACCGCCGCTTCGCCTTTGCTCGTCGCCCGGCTTCCACAGTCCACCATTGGTCAAGCCATCTCGCCATCATCTTCACCAGCACCCATTGACCAAGAATCCCGAAGGAATAGGCACGTGGTGAACCATGGTGGGAGATCTCCATCTTCTTCCCCAACTCCGGCCGCCCACGCCATTCCTCTCTTCTTCCTTCTCTGGTGAGCTTCGGCGCAAGCTTTTTCGCCTAAATCTGTCTTGTGCCATCTCAAATCGATGCATGCCTTCTCTTTGAATAGATCAAGACCGGAGGTGTACCGCCAACGACAACCGTAGCCGCTGCGCCGCTGCCAGACCAGCTCTCCATCGCCAAGACCGTGCTGAGCCGTGTTCGCTGCTTGGTGAGCTTTCTGGTAGTCCCTAGGACCTTCAGCAAACACATGCACAAACAGATCGAGTCTCTATCATGGCATGCATGTGCAAGCTGTGCTTTGCCGCCGCTTCTAACATCCTAACTGCCGCTATAGACCACCAAAACTTGCAAAAAAGCTACCTATAGGTTCGTACGGTTGTCCTCTACACCTTTTGTTTTGGGAGCTTGAACTGAATCGCCGCTGTTCACCGCCGGCGATGTCGGGAAGCTCGCGGGAGAGCTGCTCCTCTGCTCTGTCAAGAGCAAGGGCATGGCTTAGTGAAATTTAAAAATCTCCAGGGGTAAACAGACGCTTTACATGTGGGACCATTTACTCATTTGGTAATAACTTAAAACTTAAGCACCTTTTTGAATAAAATCCTGGAGCACGTGCTTAGAGGCTGCGGGACCTATTTCTTGAGAACCCAGGGACTTATGCGCAAAAATATAGTCACTGACCGGTGGACCCGAGAGAGATAATGATTTGAGAAAAATAGAGAAAATGCAAAACTAGTTTCTTATCAACTGAAAAATGGTAAAATTTTAGAAATTTGTAGAAAATTCATTCTAACTCTGAAATTTACAAACTAAATTTTTTTGGAATCATATTTTTATGCTCTGCATCATAAAAATGTTCGACTAAACAAAATCATGAAGATTTATGTCTCAAAAATCCGAAATGCATGTAGGTCTATATTTAATATGAAGACACTTTAAAAATTTGAAACTTTTAAATGAAAACTGTTAAAATGAAAATTATTTCACTAAAAATCAATGTAACACATAACACAATTAATCTATGAAAAACATTCATTTTAGAGCATGTTGGATTTTTATGTATGTTTATAATTTTGATTTTGCATATGTATGTTTAGACGATTCGCAGTCGAATCACGAGGAGACCCACTTCGTAGCTGAGCAAGGAGGGGAAGAGCAAGGCAAGCTACCTCCCCTCTTTGATCACATTGAACCTATGATTTGGAGGTTATTTGAAAAGGATTGCAAAATGTGCATGTTGATTATACACTAGTTCACTAAAACTTTGTAAAAATTTATTAGATCAACTCCTTAACTTGCATTACCACCTAAACTCCACAAAAGACCTTAGCCATTATTCCTAGCCTTAGGAACAATTCATTTTGTCACATTAATTATGATGTTTGCGGTCACAAGTCTATGAAAATGCTTAGCCAGGGCTCAACTATGTATATAAAATGATCTACTTTATGGTCTGGATAGAAATAATAAAATGTGATATTTGTTAAATAAAATGTTAGAAAATGTGGATTTTAGGTTTGGGCCTTATGTGGTACACATATGGTGATTAGTTGTGTGCGGATAGGGGGACTTCACTCAATGTCAGTTCGCTTCGTATAGTTCATTTCGTATATAGTACAACCACATGTGCTAGTATGGGATAGCCCAAGCTTAGTAAATTATTTATGGTTTAGCCTTATATTCTGGTAGGCCGGTGTGTATGAGTTCGAATAATTCAGAGGAGCTTCCTATTTACCCTGATGTGGTAGTTTAGGTGACTAAGCATGTCCAATACAACGGTATTATGCCACGTGGTGGGTTCCCGTCGTGTCCGCCACCACGGCGTTAAGTTTAAGGCGTGGGCCCGCCACTTAACGGTTCTAGGTCATATATCGAATATGGCTTAGGATGGAGAAACACGTATCGTACTGGTGTAAGGCTAAATCATGAATTTTGGAAGGGCTTTGTTGTGAGTAATAAATCGGATACTTATGTATCGCATGCCATGCTTTGCATAATTATTATATCGCATCATGTGGGTAAAGTGTACGTACTCTGCAGAGTTAAAACTAATCGATTAGCCGTGCTTGCGGTTATGAGCGGCGTGTGAATATGTCATGAGTATAGACTTGTGTTCTATTCTTCCATAAGCTGAATTTAAACTTCAAAATGTGGTGTGATTTGTGGATTATGTCCTTGCTGCCATGGAAGGCAATAAGGAGCTATGTTATATGTGATTAACATCTACTTTGATGCCCATTTGCTAAGTGTATGCTTGCTGAAATTTAATTAAAAAGAAATCTGAATTTGAAAATGGTCTTTGCAAACAAAATATGCTTTATGCTGAAAATATCCAATGTAAGCTTTATTTTGAATATGCCATGCATGTAGTGTATTAGCCTTGCTTGGTGCTTGCTGGTACAATTTATTTGTACTGACTCTTGCTTGAATTGTTGTTTTGTTGTATGCTTAGAATTGGTTGCAGGTGAGATCACTCCTGAGGAGGATGATTTCGCATGAATTGTTGTTTTGTTGTATGCTTAGAATTGGTTGTAGGTGAGATCACTCCTGAGGAGGAGGATTTCGCAGGGGATGTTTCGTTCTTCTAGGATGGTTCTTACTAGGGTCTACCCTAGTCGGTTGTATGAAAGATCTTTTGGGTAGATTATGCTTCCGCGAACCTAGCTATTTGGCTGGTCGGCCATATGTATCTAAGTACTATGTTGTATGATTCTAACTAACACTTAGAATTTAGAACTCCTTATGTTAGAGATATCATGTGCTTGGATGAAAGTGTTTAGAGTGTTCTTTTTGTTAGGAGCATATTAAACATGAGTATGAGTTAAAGATATTTGAGATCATGTAGATCTTTAGCTATTTTGTGTCAAGTATCCTGAATGTGGAACACATCTGGTCGCTGCCATCGAGTGGCTTGACAGGCACATCTGGGCTGAAGTTGACTGGCAGGCTAAAGGCCCAGCAAGGTCTCATGTATCTTTCTCTCGGAGCGTTGAATGTCTTATTATGTTTGATGGAAGAATTGAGTTATTCTATTCATCCTTCAAATATAATAAGAGGTTTGGAGTGCTTCCGACAGTATTGGTATCAGAGCAAGACCGACGCAGGAACCCTTCTAAGATTGAATGGTAGCAAGGCTTCAAAAGAAAATATTTTGAGGATAATATCCTCACTAAGAATATTTTTGCAAAATCTAATATATTATTACTTCTTAGCCCTCTTTGGATAAATTTCTTTCCTTTGAATCTTGTTTTGATTTTAAAAACCACATCTTATTCTATAGGATTGGATGATGCATAAATAAAAAAGTAATAACTCATAGAAAAGACTAGGAAATGAATGAAACAAATTCTATTCAAGTTAGTACTTGAAATATTTTAAAACTTTTCAGTAAATAAATGGCTAATTACTCCTTTCCAAAGTTAAATTCAAAATTTTAATTTTTCATTGATGGCCTAGAAAATGGTAGTATGGGGCAGGATGGAATTGATTTGTTTTTAACCACAGATTGCTTGTCATATAAAGGCCACCAGATTTTTGTGAAGCCTCTACGTTAAGCTCTTAGCATGTCCTAATTTTAGTGCGGATTTTTCATGCTTGCATCATATTTTAAAAATTGCAAAAACCCTATGCTGCGCAGATTCTAGAGCATGTAGCAGTCACTCTTCATATTTTTGCATAGACCAGTGTCTAGTAGCTAAAATTTTTCCGATTTACCAATAGCTACCAAACTTAATTAAGAAACCCTCACATTTTTCCTAGAATTTTTGCATGCCTGGAGAATGGGTTAAAAATTCGAACAGCACAGATCAACCTGTAGTTTCAGAACTGCATCATCTAGTTTAGAAATTTATTACAGATAAATATATGTGTCTAAAAATTGTAAACCTTATACCATAATGTGGGGTATAACCAGGGCATCCTTAGGCATGTATTTAACCAAGAAATTTATGCATTCACATGTTGAATTAAGGTTAACCTATTGCATAATAGTATGTTGGACAGAACATGATAAAATAACCATAACACCATTTCCGAGTTCCTAATGAGTTTCAATTGAAATTCTAATTGGTCTATACTTCCAACGCTTGTAGATGTCTACTGTGTGGCAACCACTAGGCTATTCCGGAGATTATGAGGAAGGATCATTGCCTCACATCTTGTGGCTCATGCTGCAACATCTTGGCCATAACCACCCACCGGAGTATCATTTCTTTTCTCTTGAACAGAGTTCATCTCTCCGAGCTTATATGGCTGAGCTGTGTATACAAGGATTTTGGACCCATGAATCACCCATTTACTTTCAAGCTTATGGTTGGGATGCACCCTCAGCAATGCATGAGGCCGCATTTCAAGCGATTGTGTATTATCGACATCACAGGCCAGGGATGGATGTGTTCTTTCACTATTTTCCAACTCGCACAAATCAAGCAACTACCAATTACTATCCAGGTCTTGAGGGAAACATGAGAGAGATTGAAATTCCACAGCTTTTCTTAGCTGGCCTAGTTCGTGCTATGGATAGATATCTCGCGAATACTATAGCTGAGTTGTGTAGATTGCAAGCCAGAGTCGTTATGCTTGATAGAAAAATAGAACAACTTGGGCATCAAGGGCACTTTGATAATGCCATTATTTATGGGAATCATGAACTTCAACCTCTTACTGAGACTTTGCCTCCTCCAATGGGCGTTTATCAAAACATAAACACTAGAGCCCGCATAAGAGTTGGTTTCCACTGCAATCGTCCAACCATGCCAGACCCTGCACTTGTTGGAGATCCAGTGTTGCTGGGACCATTCTACGTGTTTGAGCGGAATGGGAGACAATACCATTTGACCATGGCCACTCCGTCAACCACGGTGCCTCAACCTCCTATCGGATTCTCCCAAGTTCCATAGAATGATGTACTAAAGGAAAAATGTATGGGGCGTAACTTACATTTCTTTTTCCAAAAGATGAATGAGATGACACCCTATTATGTAATCCTTCTAATGGTCAAAATTTGTAACACCGAGGCATGAACTTGGTTTCTTATGACCATTATCCAATTCTATGTATCTATGATCACTTAGATCCTTTGGAACTAATGTACTGGAATGAGACTTATACTCCTTTTGGAATAAATTGCTTGTTGTCCAGAAATTTGTTTTATACAAATATGACACGAATGACTTGTAAATTCAGCTATAAGAAATCATTCCTATGTTCTATATATTTAGGGTGATTGTCACGCCCATAAATTTAGCCCAAATTTCCAGACTATTTTGTGTATTAAATCCCTGTCCAGGACCAGCCGGGGTACACAAAACGACAAGTAAATATACAGATCCAAACGTAAATAAAGCGTAAAATACTTACAGAAGAGGCACTTAGTCCTCACACCGAAACGAAAGCAGCAGCAGCTGAAAAAGGCAATCCTAGCGGGGCTTCAGCTCCACTCCACAGGCAAAAACTCAACTGGGGTCTGAGCCTTGGTCCTCTAACTTTGTCTTTAGCTCAGAAGCACTACACTTCTTAAAAGGGGGAAAATAATAGCAAGGCTGAGTACAACCACCGTACTCAGCAAGCCACACCAATGATGCAGACGTGCAAGGGGATACAAGGACGGTTGGTGGCTATTTGCATAAAGGCGGTTGTAAAACACTTTATTTAGCAAACAGTAAAACAGTTGAGTAATTAAGGTAATATTAAATCTCCACTGGTCAACGCTACACCACGTTGAACAGGCCCAACAAACCCACCTGAACTACAGTGCATTGGGTCGATTTATTAAGTGTGAGACTAATCACGGTGATTCTGGTCGATCGCCCATAACCACGGGCACGGCTATTCGAATAGTTTTACTCTGGCCAAAGGTGCACAACTGTACCCACAAGACACAATCCACTGGCATGTCACCGTGCCCGGCCAGACACGTCACCATGTCGAGTGATTGTGACAAGACCCTTCATATAACCCGCTCTGACCAAGCACACCACACCTCAGGCTTCACCCCCGCCCCCAGCAGGTAGCGGACAGTCCCCTCTCGTGGCTAGGTGAATCCGGAAGCGACAGAGGCCGTCGCAGGGCCCGCCCTGCTCCATCACGCCCACCCTTGCCTGGATGCGTCAACCAGAGAAAAGCTACACTTCAAGGCAGGCAGTTACCCATTCCCGCTTGTGGCAAGCGTTGTATGTCTTCTAGTGCATCCCGCGAACCGGTCCTTAATTGCCATGGGTGCGACCAGCAAAACCATGCACCCACAACCCGCTATTCAGTCGTATTTTAGTTGGATAATTATGACCATGAAACATGGCCAGATGTCTCGAGCACGTAGCTCATCATAATACTAACATGTCTAATACTGCAATTATCCCATCTACTGAGCTAGTGGTAATTAAGCATCGCTAAGCATATAGTTCTAGCTAGGTCATCAAAGTAACATAAGCTAGTCGATTTATCACCCAAGGTTGACAAAGGACACATATCAAATAACATGGTACAAGCAAGCAGATAGGTAAACCCTATACCCATGTAATTAGTAAAACGATGCATATTTATTTGCAAACAATAAAACATTTATAAATTTGGATCAACATGCTCAAGGGGGATGTGTGACTTGCCTTGCTTCTTCACTTTTATCTTCTGAACTCTTTTCCTCGAGACCGTAGACTTCCGAAACGACGGATTCTATACGCTGGCACACAAAACAAGGAAAAACTCTAATAAACACTAAGGGAACAGTACATAAAAAGTAAAAAAAACATGTAGAGCTCAATTTTAGATGAATTTTGCAAGTTGAACGGCTCAATTCGGAGTTCATATGAATTAGATTTGAATTTTAGAAGTTTTGAGCCATTTAAATGAATTTCTAGAATTAAATACAATTTATAACACAATTAATGATTAATTTCTCAGAGGAATAGGGACGCGCTGACGTCATCAAGGGGAGGCCGGCGCCGACACGCGGGCCCCGCACGTCAGCGGCACAAAGGGGCGGCGCACGGTGGACCAAGTCCGCACATGGCCTCGGGTGCGCGTCCACCACGTGGACGGCCCAAATCGGCCCGAGCCGATCGAGCGGCCGAGGGGAGCGGCGGCCAGGGGCACGGGTGCGGCACAAAGCCGGCCCGGCAGAGCCAAGGCACGGCGGCGACGGCCAGCAACAGCGTGGGGAAAGGCGGCGCACGCGAGCGGCGGCGGCGGCTCACGCGAGGGAGCGGCGCGACCAGGGGGTCGAGCGGCACGGGCGAGCGGGACGGCGGCAAGCTAGCCGGCCGAGCACACGACAGCGCCGCGGCGACGCGCCGGGCCCAAAGGCCACCGGCGGCGAGCGGCGGCTGCGCAAGGCGGCGACGCACGCACGGAAGTGATGGCGCACGGCGCTAGGAGGGAGAGGAGGAGCTCACCGAGGACACGGCGACGAGGGGCGGGGAAAGACGGGGAAGCTCGGCGTTGACGCTCCTCGGGACGAAGGCGGAATGGCGGCCCGGCGGCGTTCCGCGAGCGGGAACCGGCGGACGGCGGCCGGAAGGACCTGGGGAGGACAAGGGAAAGGTTAGGAATGGGATAGGGGCTCCCAGCGGCGGGAATCGCCAGCCGGAGGTGAGAAAGAGCGGCGGATGCTCACCGGCGCGAGGGGAACCGTGTTCCAGCAGGATTCTGGTCGTGAAAAGCGGCGGCCGAGGTGCTCCTCGGTGCTGCGAAGCGAGCGGCGGCGACGGCACGACTTGAGGTGGCTAGGAGCGGCGGGAGGCGGCGGCTGGAGCACGCCGATGAGTGGTGGGGAGAGGGAGCGCCGTGGGGAGGTGGTTTCGGCGACACAATGGGGAAGCGGAGGGGATGCCGGGGTATGGCACGACGCGGCGAAGCCGCTGATGGCGGTCGCGCGGAGCGGCGGCGGCAGGAGCAGCGGTGGCGGCCGGCTGGAGGATCACCGGCGAGAGGTGCAGCGGTGGCGGCGTGGTTTTCGTGCACAGGAGGGCTCGGGAGAGAGGGGAAAATGGAGAGGGAGGTGCGGGGAATGTTTTTATAGGGGAGGGGAGGTCGGACCGAGCCCGGGAGAGGCGGAGTCGGGGCGGCAACCGCCGGCGGCGTGGGCGGCATCGTGGGGTGTGGGTGGCGGTTTTGGAAGGGAGAGGTGGGGGATGAGGAGGACGTGGGGCGGCGGGGTCCCACGGCCGGCGGACTCGTGCGCGGGGTGGAGAAGGAGGGCGGAAACGGCAGCGTCGTGGGGAGGCTCAGGCGGCCATGGCGGCGGTTGGAGCCGGAGGAAGGGGCCGGCCCCACCTGTCAGCGAAGGGAGAGAGGAAGGGACGCAAAAAAGACTTTTTGCGAGGGAGGATAGGAGGGAGGCCGAGGGAGGGGAAAGGGAGGCCGGCCTAGCCGGGAAAGAGGAGGGAGGGAGTTGGGCCGAGCCCAAAAAGGGAGGAAAGGGATTTAATTTGGTTTTTCTTTTTATTTAAATGAGTTTAATGAACTTTGTGACTTTAAAATTACTTCTTGAGCTCCGAAACTTCACGGGAAAATTTCAGAGAATATTTAGGACCCAAAGAATATTATAAAATATTTTCGGCCAATGATTTTTTTAAGGGAAAATTTTAATTCTCCCATTATTTCACTTGATTAAGTTACTTTAACTTTTATTGAATTTCTAGAAAATGCATTATTAATTGATTTTTAATCCCGACCGAAAATCGGGGCGTTACAGTGATGTATATGTCAAGTCTTTGCACAAACAGCTCATGTACTTGTGTACCTTGAGTGCAGAATGGAAAATACTCGCTCCGGTGATCACTCTGTAGACCGTGCCTGGGGTAGTCGACGTACCGCCACCACTGAGCAGCATGACGATGAACCGTCCCTCGCTCAACTCTTAGCCAATCAGAACCGGCTCTTCGAAATAATGGTGGCGAACTCTGAGAACATGGGGGCTGCTATGGCATAGCAGGCTAACCAAGCTCCTTCCAAGTTGGCAGATGTTCAGCGAACTCATCCGCCACATTTCTCCTCTGCAGCTGATCCACTCGCAGCAGATGATTGGCTTCGTGATATTAAAATCAAGCTAAATCTTTGCCAGTGTGATCCTGTAGAGAAGGCTACATTCGCTGCATACTACCTGCAAGGAGCATCAGCTGCTTGGTGGGAGACATACAAGACTCTCATTCCTCCTGATGAGCCTAACAATTGGACTGTTTTCTGGGAAGGATTCATATCTGCTCACATCCCTCCTGGTCTCATGGAGATCAAAAAGAAAGAGTTTCTTAACTTGAAGCAAGGAAACATGACCTTCATGGAGTTCATGGAACGCTTCAACTATCTGGGTAGATATGTCGCTGCTGACATGAACACTGAAGCAAAGAAGGTTGAGCTATGCAGAGATCGTCTTGCA